GCAGCAGCGACAGCAGCAGCAGCAGCAGCAGCAGCAGCAGCAGCAAAACACGCTTGCTGCTCATTACTGGGCCCAACATGGGGGGCAAGAGCACCTTGCTGAGACAGACGGCCCTGTGCGTGATTTTGGCGCAGGTGGGATCGTATGTCCCAGGTAGGGTTTAGGGTTTAGGGTTTAGGGATTAGGGTCTAGGGGGCATGGGGAAGCCGAGGGTTTAGGCCTTGAAGCCGCCGGGCCCTTTTGTCCCGGCAGGCAACCGACCCGAGCGGGTCTGGGCCCCCCAGGGTTTAGGGTTTAGGGTTTAGGGTTTAGGGTTTGTGCGCAGCCTCGGAGTGCGTCTTAACTCCTGTGGACAGGATTTTCTCTCGGCTGGGCGCCGAAGATTTTATTCTGCAGGGCAGCAGCACTTTCTTTGTGGAGCTCTCGGACATCGCGGAACTCACTACCTACGTAAACCACGATTTAGGGTTTAGGGTTTAGGGTTTGGGGCTCAGGGTTTAGCGATTCCGCGCCTCATGTTCCATTAAATCCGGGGCTTAGGGCTTTAGGTGACGCCTTGGGGCGGTGCCGGGGTTGAGGGGCTGGCCTAGGGTTTAGGGTTTGGGCGCTAGGGTTTAGGGTTTAGGGTTTAGGGTTTGCAGGGCACGCGCTACTCGCTGGCCTTAATAGACGAACTCGGGCGAGGGACTTCGACGAGCGACGGGCTGGCGATTGCGTTATCGACGGCTACGCACATAGCGGACTCTATAAAGGTCTTTTTTTTTTTTCACCTTTTGTCCTTTTTGACGCTTTTTCGAATCTTTCTGCACCTTTTTAAGCCCTCTTCAACGCCCAAGAGTCTCCTTTTGTCTCCCGTTCCTTCTTTTGTCTCTTCTGGCTTTTTTTTGGGATTTTGGGGCCTTTGTTTGGCTTTTTTTGGCCTCTTTGGCCCTTTTGATCTTTTATTATCTTTAATCTCTTTTTATTATTTTAATTTTTTGCTTTATTTAAATCTTTTTTTGTTGTTTCTTTTTTTCGTTTTATGCTTTGTGTTGAGTTCCCTTCATAGCAGCTGCTCTGCGGCCTTTTTACCGCATTGAGGGTTTAGGGTTTAGGGTTTGGGGTTTTGCTGCTGCAGTGCCGCACGCTCTTCGCCACTCACTACCACATGCTTTGCTACGAGCTGCGGCAGCACCCAGGAGTCTCTAACGTGCACTTGGGGGCCACGGTGACAGCAGCAGCAGCAGCAACACCAGCAGCAGCAGCAGCAACACCAGCAGCAGCAGCAGCGGCAGCAGCAACAGCAGGGACTGTCTCCTTCGAATATAAAGTCAGAGAGGGCATCTGCCCCTACTCCCACGGGCTGCTTGTCGCCAAACTCGCTGGAGTGCCGCAGCACGTCCT